ATACAGAACACATGATACAGGTTACAGATTACAGGTTACAGAATACAGAACACATGATACAGGTTACAGATTACAGGTTACATAATACAGAACACATAATACAGAATACAGGATACAGATTACAGAATACAGAATACAGGTTACAGAATACAGGATACAGAATACAGAATACAGAATACAGGTTACAGAATACAGAATACAGATTACAGAATACAGGATACAGATTACAGAATACAGGTTACATAATACAGAACACATGATACATAATACAGGATACAGATTACAGAATACAGAATACAGGTTACAAAATACTGAACACATGATACAGAATACAGAATACAGGTTACAGAATACAGAAAACATGATACAGAATTCAGTATATAGGTTACAGAATACAGGATACAAGTTACAGAATACAGAGCATAGATACAGAATACTGCATACAGAATATAGGATATATGATACAAAATGTAAGAATACAGGATACAGCATCGACTTTAGAGATTACACGATACAGAATAAGAATAAAGAATACCAATCACAAAAACTAACAAAATATAAGACTTTAATAACGACCGAGAACTATTAAAATGTATAAATCTAAAAGGTTAACTTTAGTTTCCTTTATTCATGGCTTTCTTAATGATTTGACAAATAAAAAAGAAAATTACAGGTAATTACAGGTGCACAGAACCAACAATGTCGTGTATGGATAACCCTGTACAATACTATATAATGCAAAATAACTAAAAAAATACCAAAAGTCTTGGAAATCTACACAGAAATTTAGAAAGAAAATTAGAATAAATATGACCCTTAAAACAGGCATAAAATGTTGAATAATGAATACTGCTAAAAACCAGTTTTATTAAGATTTATTGGTGATTGAGTCCTTTTTAGCTTAAACGCTGCAATCTTCTTCCAAAGCCATCTCCTCTCCCCCCCCGTTTGCTTAAAGAGAGTGTTCGCGAAAAAAGGTATAGGCTTAATCCAAACTAAATATGGATTAGATCACTTCTAATTTTACTTCAATCTTTACCGTGTACAAAGTGGAAAGGGTTAAAAACGCATCCCTTCCATCCAAGAGTTGAGGAGAACGATTAATTGATTGAAAATGTCGTCTTCGTCATTAAAAATCCACAGAATTCTAATGAATATTTAAAAAATTACACTCATGCCCTATACAGATAACAAATATCATGATTAGTTTCATTCGATTGACCCGAATAATTTTCGAAATATATGTATTGTAATATTTCAAGAATCAGTTGTAAATTTAATTGAATAGTTTACGATTTGAGTGATTTGGGTGCAAATGCAATTTAGTGAAATTACACAGACTCTCCGTATTAAGCTTTTTCAACCACATTTTCTCCGTGCAGGCACTGTCTGTAACTAGAAATAAAATAAGCAGCGATTAAATCCAAATTTGATTCTAACCCCTGGGATAGGAGTGGACATTGACCCTGAAGAGTATACTTCTTGGAGACCTACTTGAAGCCCTACTTGGAGACCGGACCTAATCGGAGACCTACTCGGAGACTTACTTGGCGACCTACTTGGCGACCTACTTGGCAACCTACTTGGATACCAACCTACTATTCAAGGTACCTACCTACTTGTGTACCAACTCTTCTAGTTCCCTACCTCCTGGTTTATAGTACTCTCCTACTGTTCTGCAGGTACATATTTTTCTTGATGCCTACCTACTCTATTCTTCTTACTGTTCTATAAACCTACCTTCATCTTTAGGTACTTACCTATGTAAAAGATGCCTACCAACTATTCTAAGCACCTCCCTGCTGTTCTAGGTACCTACCCACTATTCTAAGCACCTACCTACTGTTCTACGTACGTACCTACTGTTCTATGAACCTACCTACTGTCCGGCATACCTACTTACTGTTTTAAGTGCCTACCTACTGTTCTATGAACCTACCTTCTAAGCACCTACCTACTGTTATAGATACCTATTATACTGTTCTATGAACCTACCCACTATTCTAAGCACCTACCTACTGTTATAGATACCTATTATACTGTTCTATGAACCTACCTACTGTCCTGCATACCTACCTACTGTTCTATGAACCTACCTACTGTGCGGCATACCTACTTAGTGTTTTAAGTGCCTACCTACTGTTCTATAAACCT